TTACAGATTGAAAAAAAAAAAATTTAGAAAAATTCGTTTTCTCAATTATTTTGAAATATTTTTTTCTTCAAACATACTAATTTAATAGTTACACAGTTTTTATCTATCGGTAAACGATAGAAGTATCAATTTTGCATTATTTACCATAAAACCAAATTTTCAATTTATTAGGCAGTTAAGTTTTCTTACGAATTCTCTCCTTATAAATTACATTATAATTTGCTTTATTGTTTAATATTCAAAATCTATACGCACATATATGCATATAATAATTATTTTTCTTCTTTTCACAATTTTCACCAATTAAACATAATTTTGCTTATAAGCTTTTATGAATTGTTACATATCAATGCTTATCATTCGATAATATTATCAAATTATGAAGTTGCTTACAAATTGCATTATGTAAAAAGATAATTCAGCTTGATAAACGTTTAGAATAGATTATAGATAATTTGAAAGAAATTTCTCAGAATGAAAAATTACTTTGTTATGAAAACATAAAATGTGCTTTGCAAAATTATCGTGAAGAGCTGATTATGTGTAAGCTAGTTAAGTGCACTTAAATAAAAAAAGTTTGTACGACATTGTCTGCCGGACAGGTAATGTTGTATTCGCACAGTATAGTTTGTCCTATAATTATTACTTAATTGGGAGGGATTCTGATTTCATTTTATGCAATTATATGACACCAGAAGTACATGCTTTTCATATTAATAGGTCATCTCACACGATAAGTTAACTATCGATAAACATTAAAAAGGATATTGAATTTTCGGAAGGATTAAAACATTAAAGGGAATTTTTCGTGAATTTTTCTTCGAAAGAAAATTCACTGAGACGGTCATTATTGTCACATAATTTTCTTCGTTAATATGTTGATTTTTGTAATAACACGAATACTACTAAGAGCGTTAAAATATTTAAATGCTCATACTAGTTCGTGTTTTACTATTTTTTAATTCATACGTTATAAGGGACTTTAAATTAAATTTTAGACGCGTATTCTCGTAGAATACGTAGAGTACATTGATTAAAACAAAATTATTTATAATATAATTTTTGTTTGTATATATGCATTTGTTTTATATGTATTGTCGATATTTTCACTGTTTAGAGAATTAAGAATATTAATGTAAAAAAAAAAAAAAAAAATTAAAGTAACTACAAATTAGCTTTTTACCTAATAAATTACTTGATTGATTATTATAATAAAATTAGGTCGAATTTCTCAGGTTGAGCCTCTCACGCAGAGTCGATAAAAAAGAGCGAGCGATCGTCAATTTTTTATTTTGATTTTCACCACAAGCTTAAATGGAAAATAAGTGAGCGTAAAGGACAATTTTCTTCTCTGCTGTTAGGTGAAAATATTTTATTATCGAACGTAGCTTTAGATCTTTGTACCAAACTATCGTGGACCAGGTATTGAATGAAGAAGGATTTTTTTTTACATGCTGATGTTTCTCTGTACCGATGTTTTTGTCTCCGTTGAAGCGGAAGCATTAAAATGGTATTATTGACAGTAAAGGACAAAGCTTGTATACAAATGAGGATTTATCCTAAATGTAAAAAGTTTTGACTCGCTTCATCTGCTTTACAAGCACACTCGGTGTTATTATTTTTTTGCATTTTTTTCTTCATCTGGTAATTAAATTTTATGGCTACTCGAGAACTGTTTTTTCGTGTGTAGTTATTATGAATTTAACTGCAGGTGTTTCGCGAACGCGCAGGACATAAGTATATATAAAATAATTAAGGAAAAGAAGGATGTGTTAAGCGCTTATTTATGTACATTCTGTTGGTACACACTCAACAATCCTAATAATTGAAATAATTTACATTAAATATAAAAGTTATGCTCGAGCGATATAAATTGCACTGACATTTCCATTGAGGAGATTGGTGAATGTGCATGTAGTAACGTTGGACAAAATTGCCCGTGAAACTCGAAAACTTTTAATATCACCGCGAGCTGTTAAGTCGTGATATACGAAACGGAGAATTCTCTTTTCATTTTTTTTTCTCCCTCATTTTATTGTCCACTTTTCTTTTCTCAAAAAGAAAAAGAAAAAGAAAAAAAAAATTAATATCTTAAGGATAAGAATGTAATTTTGTGGAGGTGCGATTATTTTGCAGTTGTCATTAGCCAAGTAACCTTGATAATTGTGCATATGCTTTCTGAGGTTATTTCAAAATTAATTGAAAATCCATAAAGAGGAAGCATATATGATAAATAAAAAATTAAGATATAAATTTGCTTCAAATTTTATGCTCGCCTGTAGCATAATGGGAATTTTTCTTTTAAGCTATTATATTTAAAGATAATTAAACTTTTATATTTACATCCTTACCAAATATGTTAATTGGAATAAAAAGCTTTGAATATCCTTATGAATGCGAGATACTTATCCTTTCTTACACTAATTATTTAATGTGAAAATGTAAATTGCTAAATTTATTCTATATATTTCTTCCAGAAATTCTAATATTTTAAAATTTTATTCAAATGTTAAATATGAATATACAAACTTCAGGGTCATTTACTCATTAATATTTCTTATGAATATATTTGAAAATCTTGTTCTCGTGCATATAGTGCATTAGTTTGTCAACAGATAACTTTTTTTCTCTGTCAATCTCAAGAGGAAGTCAATTTTATTTACAAACTTATGCGCAAACGCACTATGCACATATACGTTTAAACTCACATGTATACCCACCGCGTGATGGATACGCTAAATACAACGAGCATTCGTACTCACACACATGCATTGGATAGTCTTGAGTTGGACTATATACTTCCATCATATTTTTAATATCAGGAACTTGTTCGTGAAAAAAAGTTGTTTAAAGCAAGATCATAAATATTTTTGTAACAAAAAATAATTCTTTGGATGAGAGACAGTATTGTATTGGGAAAACGTACTCAAATATTCAATTATAATTAATAAAGATATAAAAATATTACGCGAAGCGATAAATATTGCAACGATAAATGTCTGTATACCTTCAATAATATTACACTTAATAAATACAATATGATTCATACTTTTTTGTCAGATAATAAATCAACGCTGTGAATGCGTATGCATGCGTATGTGAACATATACGCGCGCGCATCCCCACCCACTCAAACATGCACACATAAAAAAAAAAAACGAGATACTTTTTTCTCATATATGTTTTAACGTAATGCTTTCTATTAGATTAATAGATTATCATTAGAATTTTATTAATACAATGCAATTTATAATTCGACATATACGATAGATTTATAATTTTATAGATATATATATTATGGCTTGACTAGAAAATAATCAAATATAATATATTTTGCCAATATTTTCATTTTCATATTGTTCCCTTTAGCACTGATGTACAAATCATTGAAAATAAATATTTTCTCGTTTCGTATGTAACTGAAATTTTGAATTTGCATTCGGCCGATTATTACTTCCTTATTTTATGTGAATATTCTTAAAATAGACCTAACGACGCACACGATAAGCTTTTATCTTCATAATTAGAAGATTACATGTTTAAATATAAAATTTGCAAATGCCATCTAAATTCATCAATTCCAAATACACTCACGAGCATTGCTTACAATTAATAAAACTTTTTATTATTATTTGTTTTGGCAATTACGCACATAAGCCAGTTGATTATTTCGCAATTTTGCAGCGAGACAGTGCAATTCGGATTTTTCGAATAGCCAATGCGCAGGCTCGGCTTTTCATAATATATCGCTAAGAAATCATTATATCCGACCGCATCTCTGTCGTGCTTCGTGACTAATTTTCAATTTTCTTTTGTGGTAAACGGGGTCAGAGTGAGATTAATCTCGTTTCCATGGGATTGGGAATCGGCGATTCGCCAGAGCGAATTTAAGGAAGATTCATTTATAAAATACATAGCGATATGGATAATTTTAATTGAGCTCGATTATCACATGAAGCGTGAAATCAATGGGCATTTAGTTTGTATAATTCGATTTAATCGCATTCGTCGATTGCCATTATTTCGATTTTATCGGGCTACGTGCCTCATTGACGAGCCGTAAGTTCACTATGAGTTATCCTTGGCACCTGTTGATTATGGAGTAATTCAATTTCGCTTCAATACATCATTCACGGTCGTTGTCGCGTACTCGACGTCCAATTCCCTTGGGAAAGCCAAGTTTTCGGCCGAAATGGCATTAGGAAGGAAGACAAAGGATGTCTCGAAACAGACATCCTCTCTTTACGCCGACCCACCGTCGCTCTCGCTCTCTCTCTCTCTCTCTCTCTCTCTCTCTCGCGCGCGCGCGCGCGCGTGCTTTCTCAATCCGTCAACGACTCCACGAGTCGGCAGTTTCATTCAGCCCTGGCACGAAATCGTTCAATTTTATATTCTGACAGTAGGCGATCGATGATCGAAGAGAATTACATTATGCCAGAGGTTGTGCTCGCGCGTTAGATCGACAGTATAATAGCGTGGA